GCAGGTGCGCAAACAGCCCTCGGGCCACGCCCGCCGGCCCAGGCTTTGGTGCAGCATTTTGGTTGCCGGCCGCCCCCACCCCGCCTTCCCCTTTGGTTTGGGGAGGCCCAGGACGGGCTCACCCTCCGCAGCAACGCCCCGCAGCGCCCCCTCGAGAAATCGGCCTTTGGATCGAGGGAGAAGCTGCACTGAATCACACTAACGGCGGCGGCGGCGGCGGGCCCACTACTCACTCAGCAGGCGGGCGGGGAGCGGGGCAGGACGGCCGCTGTGGTTTTCTCTTTTCCTTGTTTTAAAGTTAATGCTCTCGGAGGGGAGGACTAGACACAGGTGTAGAAGTCTCGGCCAAAGTCTTACGTGAAGGAAGTGCCCCCCGTGGGGGCGGCAGCTCAGCCAGCCCTGCAGCTTGCATCTGGCTGTGGCCACGGGGCCACGGCAAGCTGGCCCGAGGCTGCAGCGCGTGGACTCAGGGGCCACCGCCCAGCGTCACTTGTGTCGCTGCAGCGATTTTCTCTTCCTCCTCTTGAAGAAACAGCAGCACCTGGAAGAGGCGGGACAGGGTGGGCGGTGGGCGCAGGCTGGGGGGGGTGAAGGCGGGCGCAGGGCGTGGAAGGGGCGGGGCAGGCCTCACTTGGTGTCGTCGGCCACCTCCACCTCTGCGGGGGCCGTGATGGGGGCATTGGAGTGACCGGCGGTGGGGTCGTCCGCATTCAGCTCCCCGTTGGTGGAGTTCAGTGCCTGCCGGGAAAGCGGGGGAAGGGAAGTCCTGTGCCCCGCTTTGCGCCCTCCCGTGTTGTTAGGTCCTCTGCCCAGCCCCTCACCTGGTTTTTGCTGTGTAGCAGGGCTTTGTCCCGAACTTGAGGCTGCGAGGGCAGGTCGGCGTGGACGGTGCCGATGGGCGTGGGCTGCAGGGACAGGACCCAGTGCTGAGGCCCCGGGCCCGCTCTCACCCCCCTCCACGTTGCAAGGCTGGTAGACCAGCATCCCGCCCCCACGCACCGGGGCCCCCACGCACCAGGGGCTTGCCGGCCCAGTCATACTCATAGTCGAACACAAAGCCGCTGCGATCAAAGAGGTCGGTGAAGAGCTTGCGCAGGTAGTCGTAGTCGGGCTTCTCGAAGAAGTCCAGGCGCCGCACATAGCGCAGGTACGTGGCCATCTCCTCTGCGAAAAGCGGCATGGCTGGGGGCGTGGAGGCACGGGGACGGCCCGGAACGGGGGCGCCTGGGGTGGGGGGCCCTGCAGGGAGCGGGGACCCGGGGAACGCGGGGCAGGGCGGCCCTCACCTGGGAAGCTCTCGCAGAGCACCTCGATGGGCGTGGCTCGCTTGGTGTCCCCGATCTTCTGGTAGCGCTCCTTGAGCGTGTCCGCCTGCGGGGAGCTGGGTCAGCGCCTCAGCACGCACAGCACGCAGGAGACCCCGCCCCGCCCGGGCCCCGGCGCCGCCCACCTTGAGCCCCTGCCAGGGCAGGCTGCCGCGCAGGAAGTACATGAACATGTGGCCCAGCGCCTCCAGGTCGTCGCGGCGGCTCTGCTCTGCGGGGGGACAGCAGGTCAGCGCGGCCCCCACGCCCCCCCGCCCGGCCTGCGCGCCGCTCACCCTTGCCCAGGTGCGTGTTGATGCTCATGTAGCGCGCCGTGCCCGTCAGGCTCTTGTGCTCGCGGTACGGGATGTGCTTCTTGGTCTCGGGGTCGATGTACTCCTTGGCCAGGCCGAAGTCGATGATGTGGATGGCGTGCTGACGCTTGGTGCCCGGCCGCCCCACCAGGAAGTTCTCCGGCTTCACATCGCGGTAGATGAGGCTCTTGGTGTGCACGTACTCCATGCGCGTGATCTGCGGGCAGGCCGCAGCGGTCGCCCCGTGCCCCGCCCCCGCCCGCCAACCCCCCACCCCGCGCTCCCGAGTCCGCACCAGCTGGATGGCGATCATGAGCACCGTCTTGAGCGTGAACGTGCGGTCGCACAGGTCGAACAGGTCCTCCAGGCTGGGCCCGAGCAGCTCCAGCACCATGGCGTTGTACTTCCCGCACGGACCGAAGTAGTAGACCTGAGGGACGCCCTCTGCAGGCGGAGGACCACAGACTCATGCGATGCCCAGGCGGGCTCCCGCTGTGCCCCCGAAACCAGCCCCAGGGTACCTGCCGCGCTGAGCTGCTTATAGAAGCGGTACTCCAGGTGCAGCTGTGGGGCCCGGGACTTGATGGGCTCCTGCGAGGGACGAGGACATGTGCGGATGTTACCCAGGGTGCAGGCCTGGCACTCCTGCTTGGGGTCCCGGGGTGGGGACAGACCAGGCTGGGGGTTGGGGGCAGGGCCTGGACTCACCAACTTGATAGCTACGTATTCGTTTGTGTAGAGATTCTTTCCTGCGGGAGGAAAGGCACATCAGGCCGGCAGGGCCCCGGCACTCAGAAGACCCGGCCCCACCCACCCCTCCGAGGGGCACCTCCTTCTCCACCGTGAACTTGGCCCAGCCCTCTCAGGCCCGGGAGGGAAAAGGGTGCCCACAAGGGAACGGCCACACCGCTGTGGGCACTGCCAGCTGCCCCCGAACCCTCATCTCCTGGGCCCCAAGCTGCCGTCCCGCCCTCTCCTCAGTCCCCACCCAGCTCTCACCCAGGCACCCCAACCACCCTCCGGCCCCCCAGCCCTGCCTCGGCCCACTCAAGGGGCTGTTCCCAAGTCCTCTGCGGGATCCTTCCCGCCGGCACGCCAACGCGTTCCAATTTCTCCCATCTAAAAAAGGGAAAATAGAACAAAGAGCCCTGGTGACCCCAAGACCCTTCAGCTGCAGCTGCAGGGAACTCGGAGACACCACACCCCTCGCCCACATCCTCCCTCCGTCCTGTCCCCCACACCACCTGACCTGCACTCACCCCCCAGCCCCAGGGACCCCCTCATCCCCACCGGTCACCCTACAGCCTGGCTCCTGTAACTCAGTTCAGCTGGGCACGGCCTCCTGCAACCGGAAGACCAGCCCCACCCCCATCGCTGTGCAGCAAGGACCAGACCAGGAGACACCCCCCACCCCTGCCCTGTAGCTTCCCCGAATGACAGAGTCCAGCAGGGCCGGGGCAGGGCCTGAATCCTGGGGTTAGAAACAGACCACTCTTGCACCTGGACCTCCAGGTGCCCACAGAGAACGAGCCAATATGCTCAACCCCACAAAACTGCAAAAAACCCAAGCTCCAGAACTCAACAAAGTTCAGACCTAGGACAGGGCGGTGATGCTGCTGGGTGACAGTTCCCACCACGCAGGGGCAGCCGCAGGCCTTAGGTGTGCATTTGCCAGGAGCTGCGCACAGCACCGAGTACACCCCCATCCCTCTGCCCCTCCCGCTGCCTTCCTGGGTCCTCAGCGCTGAGAAGAGGGCCCCACGGCACACCGGCCCGCAGGCGACTTCACGCCTGAGTCACTGCGCTGCTGCTGGTCTTGTTGCCAAGAGGATCCAGCCTGGAAGAGGCCTCGGCTTGCTCTCCAGCCCGCTGCAGCCGGACAGTCTGCACTGGTTTGGCCCCACCCATGTGGTGGCCGAGGCACCAGCGGTCCCACCCCACAGGTGGAGGTCTGGGGTCCCACTTGTCTCTGCCCCACGCTGGGCGTCTGCATCGCTGGCGCCTGGCCTGGGGGTATTCAGCTCAGCCTCGGCTCTTCAGCGCCTGAGTTTCCATCAGAGTTTATGGTCAGCTCGTCCATTTCCCCAGAAACCTGCAGGGAGGACACCGAGTCGGCAGGAGAGCCGTCCCAGCCACCTCTCCGGGCGGGCCGCTCGGTGACGTTCTCGGCGCTCGGTGCAGAGAGCTTGCACGGCCTTCGTTAGATGTGGGCTGGAAGCACTTGTGGTTTTGGTGCTCTTACGATTGGTACTGGTTTTAATTTTTTACTTGCCAGTTGTTGCTTGAACAGAGAAACACAGCTGATCTGTGTTGGCAGAGCAGCAGCCTTGTTAAACACATCATTTCTGTTTCACTGCCGGCATCTGCACGTGCATGACTGTGGCATCCAGGGCTGCTCACAGCTGTCTTTCTTCTCCAGTCTTTTCACCTTTACTTCTGGTCCTGGCCGCCATCTGGAGTGGGTGAGTGCAGACCCCCACTTGCTCGGTTAGGACAAGCAGGAGGCTCTTCACAGACACCCTTTAGCAGGAAAAGAAAGCTCCCTTCCAGTCCTGGTTCTTGGGTTCAGATTAAACGAACAGGTGTGCCTCTTGTGTTTCCCCTAACACTGTATCATGAAACTTTCAAAATACATAGAAAAAAGGACAGAACTGTGTGCAGTGAACCCCTAGCCCCGCAGCCTCGCATCCCACAAGCCACAAGCTGCTCTCTGCACGGCCGCGTATCTACACACCTGTTCCCCGGTCGTCTCATTTTCACATGGATTTCAAAGCTGCAGACATCAGTACCCTGCCCTGAACACTCTGCTCTGAAGATGAGGTTCCCTGTGTACTTGGCGCTAACCTGGGAGGCCACATGTACCTGTGGAACACTGCATTTGATGAGCTTTGGCAAATGTGTGCTGTGGGCCCTATGACCCCACTGACACAGAACATCACCGCACCTCACCTCCCAAGAGGGGGACTCACCGCCCGCCCCTCCTCCCTGGCTCCCTGAAGAGGCACATCCTGCCCCGTCGCAGACGCCGCTGGCGTGTGTCCCATGTCCATCACCAGAGTGGGGCCCGGGCCTCTCTGCGGGCGGCTGGGGCACTTCTTGGGCAGGCTAGCTGGTTTGTGCCGCACACACCGCACTTCCCCGGGATGAGGCAAGGGCCCCTCACGCTCCCCGGCCACTCACCCGTCTGCTTCTGTGAGGTGTCCACATCCCTTGCCCGGTTTTCACTGGAGTGACCATCTTCTTACTGTTGGGTTGTTGTCCTTTCTTGCACCCTGGGTACCAGCACTCTGTCCAGCGGTGCCCAGCAACGGCCACCTCTCAGGCTGGGGCTTGCCAGCCTGTTGCTCTTCACGAGGTTTTCAGATAAGCAGATAGTTTAAATTTCGCTGGTGCCTAACTGATCTTCCCGGTAACTGGTAATTTTATCCTGTGTCTTACTGAAGACACCTCCTGTTTTGACCGCACGTGTAAGTTCTGGGAGAGCCAAAGTCCTGGAGTCCAGCGGAGTCTGAGGCGAGCACATGTGTGTGTGCACATGTGGGCACATGCAGTCTGTGGATTTCCAGACTCCCAGGGGACTTCAGGTGCTCTGGGCTCTGAGAGCCTCACCAACGCCCAGCTCAGCAATGTGTGAGAAAAGCGAGAGGGCAGCCAGGCCTGAAGGAGGAGGACACCTCCTGAAGAGCTGTGAGCAGAAGATTCTGGGGGCTGCACAAGGCAGGAGGATGCTGGAGCCACAGCCATCCAGAGCATGGAGACCTCCCTGAACTCCCCCGAGATTCAGCTGAGAACCCAGAAAGCCCACGTATCGTAGAGGGGGACTCCAGTCCATGAGTCATGTCTGCTCTTGGCCCACCCTGTCAGCTGAAAACCAGTCCCTGATGGAGTGAAGATGAGTTGCCAGATCTCATGTGTGCCACCCAGTGTCCAGGATACAATAAAACAGCATTAGACATATGTGAAAAGTGAACAGGACCGTAAAAGGAAAGACAGAGTCAAAGGCACCACAGACACTGGCATTTAAAACAGCTACTCTAGGGATGTCTGAGGATTTAAAGGAAGAGATGGGCAAAATGAACGAGTAGATGGGAAAAATCTCAATAGAAAAAATAGGGGAATCAAATTGAAATGAAATGTACCAAATGAAAAATCCAATAGGTGTATCAAATAATACATTGGACAACGTAGAAAAAAAAGAAGGATTAACTTACACCAGAGCAATAAAACTATCCAGCCTCAAGGAACAAAAAGGGCTCAGAGAACACTGAGAACTTGAGAGACCTGTGGGACACTCAGCATCAGACACTCCTAACAAACGTGTGACTGGAGTATGAGAATGAGAAGAGAGTGAACAGAGGCAGAGAAAACATTTGAAGAAATAATGGCAGTCTTCCCAAATGTAATGCAACGGTGTCAGTACACAGATCCAAAAAGCTCAATGAACTCAAGGCAGGATAAACACAGAGAAAACCACACCTAAACAAGGCAGAATCGAAATTCCAAACCAGAGATAAAAAGAAACTCTTTAAAACAGCCCAAAAATCCTCCCCCTCCCCCATACCACATACAGAGGAACAACGCTCAACATCAGTCATCAGGAAAAAGCAAATAAAAATCCGCAGTGAGGTACCACTTCACACCCACCAACATGCTCAAAATGGAAAAGCCTGACGTCCCAAGTGCTGATGAGGATGGGGGACACCCAGAGAACCAGTATACCACCTGCAGGAATTTAAAGTGGTACAACCGCTTAGGAAGCCAACCTGGCAGTTTCTCATAAGCACACGTGACCGAGTACTTTAATGGAAACACTCATACACAAGACTTGGAGAAGGATGCTCAGGGCATTTTTATTCACAATACCCCAAATCTGGGCACAGCCAAATATCCCTGAGCGGGAGGGCACATAAACAAAACTGGGGCGCAGTCATACAAATGGACAGAGTAACTAACTCCAGGCACAGGAAACAAGCCAGACATTCTCCGAAAGCAGCGAGCGGGAGCCAGGCAAATACACACAGTCGCCCCTCGGCGTCCGTGGGGAATGGTGCCAGGAGCCCCCAGGGGACACCCAAATCTGCAGGTGCTCAGGTCCCTTACATAAAGTGGCAGAGGACAGTGAATACAGGCAGCCCTCTGCCTCGGCGGGCTTCAGGTCGTCTGATGTGGAGCACCAACTGCACCTCAACTCTCAAAAGGCATCATGAGCTTAAAAACCGCTCCCCCCACCACGCGCTCTCCTGTCTGCTTACAAAGACCTGCGCTGTTAAGGCCGCTGCTCCCAACGCCACAGGCAGGACCCATGACAGCCCTCTGGGTCCCCAGCGTCATACAGGGCACTCCAGGCTGTGGGCCAGGCCTGGGCCCAGGGGCCTGGGTGTGTTTGCTGGTGCGAGTCGGAGGGTGCACACACATGCACGTGCTCACCAGGCAGCGGGGGCAGGTCGAGGCGGCCCCGTCCAGAGGACCTGCATGCTGGGCAGGTCGGGGTGGGCCTTTAGGGCCCCATGCTCCAATCAGGGTGCTGGTCTCTCCCACACCGTCACCCCGCCCCTCAGCAGAGTTTGGATCGCCGGGCCTTGACAACCCACAGGACTGGGAACCCTGAGCCCAGGACAATGAGGCCTGAGCCGAACCCCGACACTGCTGGCACGGCCCAGGTGCGCTCTGATTTGGGACAGGCCTCTCTGCCCAGCCCTGTGGGGCTGCTGGGCACGTCAGACTCCACAATGCCGGCTGCCAGGCAGGGGCTCAAGGTCGCCCGCAGCTCCCAATGGACAAGCGCCGAGCAGGAAATGCAGGGCCTTGAGCCCCCAGCTCAGAAAGCGGCAGCTTCCTCGTCGGCCCTCAGCCCCCAACACGGCTGTCCCCCGGACATGTAGGCGAGGCGGGGCTCTGGCGGCCTGCACAACCTCCTCAGGGGGGCAGAGACACACACACTTACCTGCATCCCCGGTCCCGACAGCCCGCCCCCCACCCTGCGCCCCCGACGTGAACGCGGGGCTCACCTAGCCGGAGCTCCCCGAAGTTGCCACAGCCTATCTTCTTCCCGACCCGGAAGTTGGGGCCCACCATCAGGACCCCCGAGCCGGTCCCCGAGCTCCGGACGCCGTGGCTGGTCCGGCCGCCGGCCTTGGACATTCTCCGGCCCTCCTCCGACTCCCCTTTCCCTCCTTTCTTGTCAAAATCCATAAGTTTGTGGTACCCTGGCCTCTCCACGGTGACTCTGCTGCCGTGCAAATCCTGGCTCCACGGAGACCTGAGGTCACAGCAGCTCTTCGGGGCTAGCACACCATGGCGGCCCAGCGCCCCGGCTAGTGGGACGCGCGCGCGCGCGAGGGCCCAGCCGCGGCGCTCATCTCAGTGGCCTCGGGGTCGCGCGCGGGGGGCGGACACATGCTGCTAACAGGTCCCGCGGGCTCAAATCTCGTGGCTCTCGGCTGGCGGAGAAATAGGCATGGGTTAGAAGGTTGCAACATGCTCCAGGGTCCAGAGCACTGCCCAGCAGGGAGACCCAGGACTGGGCATAACTGAGAGCAGTGCCAGGAGGGGGCTCTGGTGGGGGAGCGCATTCTGGAAACACTTTTGAGGCACAAGTGTAATCTGTGACCTTCTTGAGGCAGAGGGGTGGGTGACTAGGCCTGCGTGAATCCCACGTGTCACTGCCCATTCTCCCCAGGGCTTCAGGACAGCTGTGCTGGGAGGGGATGTCACCAGTTGAGTGACAGAGGCCCAACACCTTGAAGCCAGGCAGGGAGCCCCGAGCTGGGGCAGAAGGTGGAGCCATTAGGGCTCCTAGGAAGAGGGACGGTGACAGACAGAGTAGAAAGGGCCCAAGGCTGGGGGACAGGCCTTTGCTGCTGGCATGGGAGCTCTGAGCTGCCTCTCCCCACCTCACCCCCACCAACATCCAGGTGGCACCGAGGTCCCTGGGCCTGGTTCCAGGAGCTTGTGACCAGGTGGGTGACAGCCGCTGCAGGCGAACAAGGCCGGTGAAGAGTATCCAGCTGGAGGGGCTGCGGGTCTCCGGCCCTGGAGGCCCTGACTTGGCCAGGTCTTGCCTGGCCAGCAGCCCCAAGGGAAGTCGGACGGGCTCTGAGCATGACAGGGAGCTGTGTGTGCCACCGGTGGTGGGGAGCTCCGGCTGGGCCTCTGGGGTATCCCAGCAGTCCCCAGGGATGCAGGGAGGGGCCCACCACCCCAGCCAGGGGGGTGGGGAGGGGACACACAGGGCAGGCCCTGAGAAGCATCCCAGGGTCTGTCTGTGGCGCCAGCCCCTCCCGGGCCATGGGGTCACTCTGCAGACAGGGGTGCTCCTCCACCACCGGCCTGGCCTCTCAAGCGCCCCTCCTCCTCGGCCACCGTCACTGTCCTCCTACAGGCCCTCACCTCTTCCTGTCCCATTGGCCAATTCTCACACCAAAGCCGCACGCATCTCTTTAAGAAGAAAACACTAATTTGCTCCTATAAAGCTTCCTTCGTCCTCTTTACAATTTGATTCAGCCGCCTGAGGCCTGGTGTGGGGCTCCGCCTGCCCAAGACCCCCTCACCCCCAAACTGCAGCTCACGCCTACGCCCCATCCCCGTCTGGCGCTCCAGGCCTGACGCCTGGTTGAGGCCACGGACCCCTGGACGTCTGATGGGGTGAGAGAGGAGGCTTGCTGTGGGGGCGCGGTCAAGGGCCTCAACTGCAGCTCATTCACAGCCCGCGAAGGCCCCTGGAGGGCCTCCCCCAACCCCCAGGCAGGCTGCAGAGGACAAGCACTGCTCCTGGTGCCCTGGAGAGGCAGTGACAGCATCATCTCCTACCCCCCTCCCTAGGTGTCCAAGCCCGGCCTAGGCTGCCTCCACGGCCCCCAGTGTCCCCCACCCCCCACAGCACAGATAGACGGAAAAGTCGGCCAGCCACCTCCTGTCACTGATGACACTGGTGCTGAGATCGTAGTCGACTTGGACATGGTGACACCTCGAGGCCTGACTTCACCTTTGACCCTGACCTCCCCCACCCTGAGGGAGGGATAGGGCTCTGGGGATAATGAGAGGGGACGTGAAAGGAGAGGGCCTCTGCATATCAAGCCAAGGACAGAATCTGCTGTTGGCCCCACGGGGTGCCCCGAAGAGGGGGTCCTACTGCATGCTCACAGAGGCAAGACCGCCAGGTGAGGGGTGCTGTCCACACACCGGCTCACACCCGCCCCTGCCGCCCCTGCCCGGCAGGGGCACCGGCTCGGAGAGGCCAGACCCGGGAGGTTTCCAGACGAGCTTCAGGGAAAACATCACCCTGTAACGTGACAGGCTCACATCACATTTCCCTACAACGCGAACAGTATGCACGGACAGTCCGGCTCCAACAAGAGCCGCTGGACAGGACTCTCAGCCCAGCTCCACGGTGCCGCGCATTCCCAGGCGGCCCTCCAGGTGGGCTGATGTCCTAACCCCAGCGGCGGACAGCCGCCCCGCGGCCGGGTCCACCACTGACCAGGATGGGGGGCGTCCGGCTGTCTGAACGTGGCTCGATGCACTCTCACTGTCACCGGCCACCTGCTCCATGGGGAACAGCGCCCTCTGCATGTGTGACAGACACACTTGTCACTGGGCTCAGAGAGAAGCCCGGCCCGGCCCTAAGTGGACTCGGGCCCGCCCACCATTTCCGCCCCTGGCGGCCGAACACACGGGAAGCCTGAGCCGAGCGGGCGCTGCGGGGGCGCCACACTGCCCCGCCCTCTCCCAGGCCTGGGTGGACAGTGAATGAGGAGCCTGCGGGCCCAAGTCAGGGGCCGAGGGGCGGCCTGCCTTTACCTCGGCCATGAGGGGTCCAAACGCAGGGGCCAGACCGCCTCCCGCATGTGACCAGTCCGTGACTTGTTGGGGGTCGGCTGTTCAACGTTGGGGATTTGGGAGTGAACTGTGAACAGCTGCTATGAAAAGGCAAGTCTACGCCCCACGAGGAAACAGCCACACTAAACAGAGGGGCTCCTCAGAGCCCACCCCAGCGGGCTCTGCCCGCCCGACTGCAGGGAGCCTGGGGGACGGCCACCGCCCCCCCCCAAGACCAGCCTCGCCCGTGACACCTGAGCAGGCTGCCGTGGTGGCTGCTGCTCCCTGTGAGCAGCACCGAGCACTGGCAGGAGCCCCCGAACCCGACACCGGTCTGGCCTCGTTTTAGGTCTTCCTCCTTAAAGTGAAAACCCACTGACCAAGGTGCACGGTGACAAGAGGGCGGACCCCACCCGCCTCCTGCCGGAGCAGGCCCTCGGGGGAACGGGCTGGGCAGGGCAACAGCTAGTACCAGCCTCCAGCCCAGCCCACACTCACGCCTCACCCGGCCCGCGCCTCCGAAGCCATGGCAAGGCTTCGGTCAGGAAGAAATGAGGCCCGCCCGCTTTGGGGCCTTGTTCGGGTGGACACTGGGGACCAGAGCAGGTGAGGAGGTGCGGCAGGCGTGTCTGTCAGCAGCCGGGGCAGACAGAGAGAGAAGGGGGCCTGTGCAACCCCCACCTGCGCTGCGCCACCCTGGGCACTGCCTAGACCCTAGACCATGCGAGAAGGAGGGATGGCGGCACCAAGGGGCTGCCCTCTTTCCCTGTGTCTGGAAACAAGAAGAGTCCCTTCAAGGCACTTGGGGTTTAGCCTAAAAGCATGTCTGTAGGAACAGATCGTTATCTCAAGTTTTCTACTACAAACAACGTCCCCACAGACTCCAGCCTCCTCTGAGCCCAGCCCAGCCCTGCTCCCCAGGGGCGCACCCGGGGAGCAGATGCTTCCTGCGAGAAAAGCCAAGCACTTTCCTACTGGGAGGTGGAGGCCGCCTACCTCGGTTTCTAGCCCCTGGCATGTCCTGATCCCTAGCTCGGAGAGAAGAGTCACAGAGCACACCAGATTCGGGGGGTTTTCCTGAGCTGCAGCTTATGCTTATAGAGCTGAGCCACTGTCACCTCTAGTTTCAGGACATTCTCATCACCCCAAGAAGATGCCCCATCCCCATCTGCAGTCACCCTGCCCCCGCCCCAGCCCCTGACAGCCAGGAGCCCCCTCCCTGTGTCTGTGGACTGGCCTGTTCTGGACGCCTCACATCCACAGAATCACACACTGTGTGTCCTCCTGTGTCTGCTTCTCTCCCTGAGCACCGTGCTCTCAGGGTCTGGCCCCACAGGAGCGGGTGTCAGGGCTGCTCTCCTGTTCACGGCTGAGTGACACTCCCGTGAGTGGAGGGACACACTCATCCACGTGGGTTGTGAGCACTTCTAAGCTGCTGTGGACGTCTGTGTACAGGTATCTGAGGACTGTGCTTTGCTTCTCCTGGGCACATATGTACGGCTGGCACCACTGGGTCGAGAGGAAACGCAACTAAAGGCTGCCCCCAGTCAGCTGCCCCATCCCCAGGCTGCACTCTGCACCAGACCTCCCAGCTCACTGTCTGGCTTTCGTACAGCATCCTGAGGGTGTGAGAGCTCGCTGTGGTTCTCACTGGTGCTTCCCTGATGACTCCTACTGTACCTCCAGGCTCACGTCTCCCCCACCGGGCTGAGATGGCGCCCAGCCTCCGTGCCAGTGCCAGACACAGGGGAGGAGGCCAGACTCACTGAAATCAGTGATGATGGCGGAAGACCACAGGAAAGGCATCTGGCTGTTGACGGGCTGAGGGAGGGAGCCGAGGGTCCTCGTGGGGACGCAGGACCAGCCTGCCCTCGGAGGAGGGTCTCACAGGGGCCCCGTGTGGGGCCCAGGCTCAGAGTGGCCAGATGCCGGACCACACAGGAGTCTGGGCACATGACTCGGTTCTGGAGCCGGAGAGGGGCAGGAGGCTGACACTCCTGGGACAGTAACCAGCTGGCAAGGAATTTTCGTAGGAAACACCTATACTTGGTAAAAACTCTGAAAGTACAGGAAACTGATGCCACAGCTCCTGGTGCCCTGTCCCCCTGGGTCCGCCATCTGGAGCCCTGCACACAGCCAGGCACCTTCTGTTCCCAGATGACACATCTGGACACGTTACCCTCGTTCCTTTGAAAACTTCCTGGATTCCACAGTGAGAGGTCACTCAAATCTATGCACCATCCGCTAACGCACACTCAGAGGTGGTTTCCAGCCAGACTTTCTTTCCTGTAGGAAAGTAATTAAAACCACACACATGTGCACACATGCAAAAAGCACACTTGAAACACAAAGGCGCATCAGAGTCGAAAAGCAAACCCATGAGAATTTCAAGGATTCTATGGAGACACCTGCCCTGTCCCTTTTTATCACCTGTACCCTGAGGATGCCCCGGGCACTACTCCGGGCACCCCTGGCCTGCAAGCTGCAGAACCACAGGAAGCAGCCAGGACACCCATTGAGCCAACACCTTAGGGACTGCATGGAGGTCCGGAAGGCCACACAGGTGAGGCCAGGACATGCTGGGGGCGAAGAGAGATAGATCTGGCCTTCTTTCAGGCCCAGCGCAGAGTGCTTCCGGAGTGGCAGGAGG